TATTGGGGCCTTTTGGTGTGGTTAAAGGTAATAAGGTTTGTTTTTTTTTGGGGGGGGGGGGGTTGGGGGTTTTTAAAATTTTTTTTCGAAAAAAGGCGTGGCCCCTCCCCTCCCTGAAAAGGATTAAAACAACACCCTCCCAAAAAACCCAAAAAAAAAAACATGACCCCCCCCCCCCCCCCCCCCTCTACCTATCGAAGACAAAAATTACCGGAAGTGAAAATAACAAACTGGAAGTGTTACTCATGAACCGTGTTCATCTGCGCACAAAGTAGTTAATTGCGCGGCGTGCGATTGTACGGTGAAAACTTGAAAACGGGCAAGGATGTACGAGAAATAGAAAGAGGGAAATGTGCTTGTGGTGAATGCGAGGATTTCATGAGGTCAGATGAAGCAACTTGTGGCTATTGTGACTGTTTGCCGACTCGCCATTCTAAAAAGGATGCCCGCTACTCCTCTGACTCTGATGGTGGAACATCGGCTGCGGGAACAAGTGAAAGCGCAAGTTCAGAGAAGTGGAAAGATGAAGACCTAGGGTGGTTCCCGAAGTTGTCGGTTCAAGCCCGAGTAGCTCAAGGGAAGAATCCTCACCGGAGACTGATTTTATACCAGAACCCGCGCGGAAACATCAAAATAAGGGCGAAAGCGGACACGGGTCGAGAGAGACAATTATGTTCGTTAGGAGAAGATAATTTTTTGATATATAAATTTTTCGACACCTGTAAATAATTTAGATTAATCTTGACTGGTAGCTTTGCTTGTATACTGATACAAAATAGAAGCGACGTGGAGTAATTTTTTCCTTTGCCAAAAAAACTGTGACCCTCACCCGGTTGAGAATAAAACAGGTTTGACCCTCCTCAATTTGTTAAAAAATAAGCTAATGACTCTCCCCTGCGAAGCCTCGGCCTACCCCACTTCCCCCCCAATAAAAAACGTACCTTCCCTAAGTAGCGTTTGACCAATCATTGCGCCGATTTTTGTACCCATTCCTCTTGTAGTTTCCGGAGGGGGAAATTACGTATACTTTGCAAGGAGGATGTCCCTATACTTTGTGTTCAGTGTCTTTAAGTGAATATTGGCAGTCAATTGTTCCCAAAATTTTACTTAGTATACTTGGTTTTTCTGTGTAACATACTCAGGATGTGTCAATATTTCCAAAACGAGTTTTCGGTGGAAAGATCTATCCTTGCTATACTTGTTGCTGCTTATTACAAACTTAATACCGCTCAGACGGCTCAGAAGGCTTGAACTGAAAGCTAACTGGGTACAGGAACTTGAAAATATGAATCGTTTTATATGGAATGAAAACAACCAAAGCGGTTGTCAAATAAGGAGCAACATCAGTTTATTTATGATTCAGTTCGGTAAAAATAAATGAGGCGCGCTAATACGAATTTTTTTCCCCAAAATATTGCTATTACTTAATTTGACAGTGTTTCATGATGAGCGCCCGTATATGAACAATTTTAAATTTGCGATACATCAAAATACACATTTCAACACATTAACAACGGTTGTGTCTAATTAATGGCATTTTAGTATAAAATGAATCGTTCCCATAGGAACGAAAACGACCAAAGCGGTTGTCAAATAAGGAGTAACATTAGTTCATTTATGGTTCAGTTCGGTAAAAATAAATGAGGCGCGCTAATAAGAATTTTTTTGTTCCCAAAATATTGCTATTACTTAATTTGACAGCGTTTCATGATGAGCGCCCGTATATGAACAATTTTTAATTTACGGTACATTAAAATACACATTTTAACACATTAACAACGGTTATGTCTAATTAATGGCGTTTTAGTAAAATCTAGCGACTAAAGAAAGCTTTTGTTTGTTTTCTTTTTTCTTGTAAGCAAGTTCATATCCTCCGGACGGTACCCGGCGATGGTATAAAAGGAGGGGCCGGTTTTAATCACCCTTTGATTGGGGCTTCTGAGGTGCACTTTGCTCATTCAAATATTCCCTATAAAACAAATTTATTAATTCTCATCTCGTACCTGACTATGAATTTTTAGCCCTTTTTTTTTCAGCATGTCCATACTAATAAGGCTTCCTGGCTACTATGAAACAATTAGTATAGTACACTAATAATATGGTGTAATTCTCAATTTTGAGGCCGTCAGTCAAACTTCGAGCAACTGATAAAAACCAACAAATAGCCCCTTTTCTTTCCCCCCCCCCCCCCCCATCCACGAAAGAGCTCTTGAAACAAAGACCGAACCGGAGGGAGACGGTGGAAATCGAGCCCACAAACTCATATGTTTATGTTAAACGTACAAGTTAATAATCGGAGTAATCTTAATACAAAATGAAAATATTACTCACTAGCTAGTTAGCTAATTAGTTCTCTAACAATGAAGACCCAGTGAAGACTATGAATAAGCCACAGCAAGAGAACAGCTCATTTGCACGCAGTTACATCATAGAGACACCGGCCAGAAAACCGTCAGAGAATTGTACTGTTCTGCGAAATTTTCTTTAACATACAGTAACATAAATAACAGCTGTTTATCAAACAAAAGCCACTATGTTGAATCAAGACAAATGTCATAAGTTCAGTTTTTTGGTAAAAACTAATCAGGGCGCAATGAAAGTACTTTTCCCGAATATTGCTTTTTCAAAACTTAACAATGTTTTTTGTGAGATAATGAGGGCCAGTATATTATGTAATTTAAATTTTGTGGGCAATAATATACTTACTAACATTTGTACGTATACTTACTAACATTTGTTTCGTTGCCTAAAGTTGTTTTACAAAATGAATCATTCCTATGTCGGCCATCCCGGAAACTCCTACATCGTAACCTGGCGATAACTGACCTCAGTGTTGGTATTGTTCTGGAGCCTATTGCTGTGATTTATATCGGATTTCCGTTTTCAACGAAAGATAGGATATTTGCTATTCTCTACTGCAGAAACTCTTGGGAGAATGAGTACAAAGCTTTGGGTTTAGTGATATCTGTGATCGTGCGTTTGAGTGGACAAGCGGTGGTTATGGTTATGAATGGTTGTTGGTATTTAAGGCAACCCTTAGCCAGTTATAAGAGAATTAAGGTACGTTTTGTATTGGGGGGAGGTGGGTC